TTATTAAGCAAGGTAAATAATGAAAACAACACTTCATAATTTTGACACTTGACAGTTATAGAAGAACCACAGCACGCAGAACATGGAGGTTATGAAACACGTTTTTAATAGATAGAAAATATCCAGAACATGTCAACAGATAACTATTATCATTTCCACGAACTTATCGGAAATAATAGTCAACTGTGCAATTGTGGCATGTCATATTGATGCCTGCTCTTCCAATGTTGAGCGACGTAGTAGTGGCACCAGCAGCATTATTAGTCTAAACGGTATCTGTTTCAAAGAGTCCATATTTGGGTGAATCGTATATCCACGGAGATTTTTGGCTTTTTGGCTTTCAAATATCACTCGAAATTAAAATTTTTCGATGCGCATAAAAAAACGTGGGCTTAACTTTTGGCGGCACAATATGTTAAAAAATAATCTAAGCATTAATCTAAGCACCCACTGTGAATTTTGCTAAATCCTTGTTTAATGTTTATGGAAACAAGGCCTAAACTCTATTAACCTTGTTTATCAGGATATTAATCTAACCACTGATTTTGTCATTTATATAATACTACATATTACATAACAGTAGTAGTAGTATTACATATGGATTTTGTACAGCATTGCTTTATAAGCTACGCTATCTAGTAGGAATCTAACAAGACACGGACCCATTTCTTGGTTGCTTATATTCGCCAAATCACAAAATAAAACGACTGTAGACTGTAGGTCCTTTTGTATCTTTTCAAAATCTCGAAATTTATGCTGCATGATTTAGTGCTGTTGAGTAGCAATTAATATACTCCTGCTAGTCCTGCTTGCACCTTGCATAATAAAATTCATATAAGTAACTAAATTTACTCATAATATGATAAAATTCTTGGAATTTATTTTCAAATCAACGTAGGTACTATGTTGGTAGCCATGCTATTATTGGCAATGTTGGCGATATTTGTTGCCAGTCAGCGTTGGACTGCCATCTGGTGTCAACCTATCGAGTACAGCCACGTCACTTAAAAATCGGTTATTGTACATCAGACTCAAACAAAAAGGCTTGAACCATGAATGCTTTTAGGCTTACCGGAGATTTAGCTCACTTAATAGCTATAATAATCCTTTTACAGAAGATATGGCATACCAGATCGNATTAATTACTAATTTTCGACATATTTTGAAAATAATTGTTGTTTAAACAATTTTAGAATATTTAAATAAATTTGTTTTTGATCTTTAATAAACAGTATATAAGTTTATGCACTTAGTTTTGATACAATAAAAAAATAAAGTTGACAATTAAAGGAAGTTTAAAGATAAATAATTATCGGACTGTCCAAAGACTAATAATTATTAACGATAGGCATTTGAAAATACGCTAATTGTATTTTTTTAAATCGCGAGACATCGATTTAAAAAAAAACCTTAAATTGGACCTCTAGAAGCTGAGATACTAAAAATTTTTAAGCGCGTCGCGGTTTTGAACTCGCCTATTCAATTTCGAGCAGGCCGAAGCGGCCGCGCTCTCTGTTTCCCCCATCACCACCACCCGTACGATTTTCTTGAATTTCTCGTTTGCATAAATGACTAATCACGTTTTACAGTAGGTTGCCAATGAAGAAAAGTATTGTAATCTTAGACCTGGTAAGTACTCGGAATACCAAAGGTATTTTTCGAAAAATTAGCCCGGATGTCCCAGTACATTTAGTGTAAATGACGATTAACTTTGATCGGCTGTAACTACGTAATTAATTGACCAATCGATCTGTTTTTTTTTAAAGAAGCGTTTTTCCAACAACTTTTAAAACCTATTTTAAAAAATTTGTTTGAATATTCACAAACTTATTCTAATTCATGTTTATAAGTACAAAATTCGACCAATGGTTAAACAAACGCCAGAGCTCTCCTAATTGACGGATTCAAATTGTTCAAAAAGCGTTTGAAAGCTTGAGAGACCTTCTATATGTGATTAAATTTTCAAGTATCCTTGGTTTTTGCTGTGCAAAATTTTGAAAATTTGCAAATTTGGATTGCAAAATTATTATGCAAAATCTATCGAACCGATTTTGATGAAATTTGGTGAGATGATTCTACATAATATGAAGTTTTTTTGAGCCAAGTATGAAAGACCTATACCCAATTACCCCAAAAAAAATCCCTAAAAAGTAATGTTTTTTAACCCCATAAGCATGATTAATTCGATTTGTAACTAGTCATATTTTGTAAAAATTTTAATTGCAAACATTTTTTCCTCTTCCATTTTTGCCTAAAATCGACTATTGAAAAGATATATAATTAAATAGGAAGAAAAATATTACATTGTTCGAATTTTTTTAACATATTGTGCCGCTAAAAGTTAAGCCTACGTTTTTTTTATGCGCATAGAAAAATTTTCATTTCTAGTGGTATTTGAAAGCCAAATAGCCAAAGATCTCCGTGGATATACGATTCACCCAAATATGGATTTTTTGAAACAGGTACGGTACGGTGAAACAGTACGGGTACGGGTTGGTAAGGGCCTAACGTCACTTAAAGGTTACTATAATTCAATAAACATAGAAATTTANTATCTTTTTGACCTGGATGAATAATGATGATCTTGATTTATTAAGCAAGGTAAATAATGAAAACAACACTTCATAATTTTGACACTTGACAGTTATAGAAGAACCACAGCACGCAGAACATGGAGGTTATGAAACACGTTTTTAATAGATAGAAAATATCCAGAACATGTCAACAGATAATTATTATTATTTCCACGAACTTATCGGAAATAATAGTCAACTGTGCAATTGTGGCATGTCATATTGATGCCTGCTCTTCCAATGTTGAGCGACGTAGTAGTGGCACCAGCAGCATTATTAGTCTAGACGGTATCTGTTTCAAAGAGTCCATATTTGGGTGAATCGTATATCCACGGAGATTTTTGGCTTTTTGGCTTTCAAATATCACCCGAAATTAAAATTTTTCTATGCGCATAAAAAATACGTGGGCTTAACTTTTGGCGGCACAGTATGTTAAAAAAATTCGAAAAATGTCATATTTTTCTTCCTATTTAATTATGTATCTTTTCAAGAGTTGATTTTAGGCGAAAATGGAAGAGGAAAAAAATGTTTGTAATTAAATTTTACAAAATATGACTAGTTACAAATCGAATGAATCATGATTATTATTGTAAAAGTCGAAAAAATCGCCAAAAATTGGGGTTAAAAAATATTATTTTTTAGGGAATTTTTTTGGGGAATTTTAAAGTTGTGTATAGGACCTTCATACTTGGCTGAAGAAAGGTTCATGTTATGTAGAATCATCACACCAAATTTCATCAAAATCGGTTCGATAGATTTTGCATAACAATTTTGCATCCAGATTTTGAAAAAAAAAATTTGGTGTGATGATTCTACATAATATGAAGTTTTTTGAGCCAAATATGAAAGACCTATACCCAATTACCCCAAAAAAATTCCCTAAAAAGTAATGTTTTTTAACCCCATAAGCATGATTCATTCGATTTGTAACTAGTCATATTTTGTAAAAATTTTAATTGCAAACATTTTTTCCTCTTCCATTTTTGCCTAAAATCGACTCTTGAAAAGATATATAATTACATAGGAAGAAAAATATGACATTTTCGAATTTTTTTAACATATTGTGCCGCTAAAAGTTAAGGCCACATTTTTTTTGCGCATAGAAAAATTTTCTAGTGATATTTGAAAGCCAAATAGCCAAAGATCTCCGTGGATATACGATTCACCCAAATATGGATTTTTTTAAACAGGTACGGTACGGTGAAACAGTACGGGTGCGGGTTGGTAAGGGCCTAACGTCACTTAAAGGTTACTATAATTCAATAAACATAGAAATTTAAATAAAAAATTTAGATAAATTTGGAGCGAATACATTGAAGATGAATTTTTCGAGACGAAACGTCTGAATGTGGATCGGGCTGAGGCAATACAGTATTGGAGGTCATGAAGACTTGCAAAAATATAATAAAATTTCCAGGGCCGTATTTAAAAAATATATCGAACCTCTTTTGGCGTCAAAATGTAGTTATTTTTATGCTCTTCAAACTAACCTATAAAAAGTTGTGTATAATATATTTTTGGCGACTTACTTCTATCGCAACGATTTTAACAATTTGTACATTGAAACTTATTGGAATCAGTTCTTCTAGGTTTATACTAGTGAAATGAAATTTTATTTTGCATTGTATTTATTTAATTTTCTAAAAATTGTTGTTTTTGGTTCTTTAATTTTTTGTATTATGTATTATCAAAACTAGACGTTCCCATTGATGGGATTTGGAAAAGGAATGTTTAATAAGTTTATTTTATAATTACTATTTTCATAGAACTAATTTCTATTGTGTTTATTTTGTCTCGTACTATATCACCGTTTTTTACCGTTTTTTATAGTTTTCTTCCCTGTTGTTTTTTATTTTGTTACTAAATACTAAAATTCGTGGTACGATTGAGACTTGGTGTCATTGACATTGTTTTATGGGAGTTTTTACAAGTAAACATGGGTTCACCTTACGATAAATGCAAGGAAACACCGGGCATAACTTTGGCGCCAGCAACGACGATATGCGTCGACTTCCTTCGTTTAACGTGGCTGTAAAAGTTATATTTGTATCGAAATTCGCTTACCCAAACGGTGGCCAGGAACCAGAAAAACTAGCTCAAATTTTTTACCTAAATTCATTATAAATTTACATATTTTAAAAAGTTTATAAGAAACATGCAGCTCAAAAATCCCTATACAGGATGTTCTAATGAGCCAAACGTCACCAATATTTTTCACTATGAAAATCAAAGGGGGTAGTTGAAACAAGACTGTCGAAAAATTTAGAGTAATATAGAAAAAATTGATTTGAAATGAATGTATATTTTATTAAACCTGTATTACTTTTTTAATTAGAAGAAACATTTGTCTATAAAATTTTACAATTAGATTAATCTCATCTCACAGCAAAACGCTGATCTCAAAATCGAATATACTCACATCAAAAACTATTCTATTTCAACTATCTTCATTCTGGTGTTCTTAAGATTCTTCTCGCGTTGCCTCTGAATCTTATCAGCCAATTCTTGGGCAACAACGTTGTTAGGGTCTCTGCGAATCACAAAATTGACGCATTCCATAGCTTCTTCGTACATCTTCAAACCCTCCAGAGCTTCTGCCTTTCTCAGGCGAGCTTTCAAGTTGCCACTGTCACTCGCAAGGACTTTGTCACAATCATCTATAGCGTTCTTGTATTTTTTCAATTTGACGTAAGTGACAGCTCTGTTGTTTAGGTTGTCAACTGACGGTTTCGCGAGGACGCTGTGGGTGTAGCAGTGGAGGGCTTCGTCATAGTCTCCCTCTTTGAAGAATTCGTTGCCCTTCTCTTTCTCGCGGTTGGCTTCAAAGATTGCCTCGGCTTCAGTACCAAATTTGTTGAAAATGACTCCCCTTCTCTTAGGTTTCTCTTCTGTGGCAGCTTTTCTTTTGTTCTCTTCCTCCAAATCCATTTTTAGTATTTCCGTGTCTGGGTCATACTTGTCCCAAGCAGAATAATCTGTAGATTTAATTCTCTTGTCGATATTCTTTGTATCTTTATCGTCGCAGAAGCTTTCTTTGTACTCTCTAACTTTTGACTCACATTCGACGGTATTCGCCTTCCTCTTCTCTAGTTCATTGTTGTGTTTAGAAATATCCGTCATCCAGGATTCTAGGTCGTTGTAAATTTCGTTCATTTCATCTTTAACTAGGTCATTTTTGTTCATTACTGGTTCGTTTTTTCTTAACAGTATGCTTTTAGGTTTGATTACCTCCAATCGTTCTTCCGCCGCTTGTTTCAGATGAGGAAAATATCCTTCTTCTCCTGATTTAAGGACGTGTAGGATTTTCTCCAACTCCTTGCCATCGGTACATTTCTCTATGTACTCGTATTCGAAGTTTTGTATGGGAATCCTGTATTTTGACAGTAACGATTCTTTTACGGGGAGTCTGCAGGACTCCTCGTCTTCTACTAGTTTGGATAGATCGTCTACGGTGGACATTGCGATTATTTCTCACTGTTTGTCTTCAAAACTGTTGCAATCACTGACGTCTTGTCGCGACATAATATTCGAAACTATAGTAACCGTCTCGACGCTAGTATTGATTTAACAACCTTAAAAAGTCTAGGGAACCTCCCGAGAGAAAGCGAATGCTTTGTGGCAAATAGAAAGATATTACATATTCATTTATTTTAAAGGATGCCATTTGTACCTATACATATTTTGTTGGAATATTGACAGTTATTCAAATAAATTGCCAACGACATGTTTTATAAAGTTCTACAATTTTGTCAGGTTTCAAAAAAAATTAAGGAGCCTCGAAAGAGTAGAGAAAAATTTTGTTTTTGTTTTTTTTTCTTTAAATATGTAGAAAGCTGCAAATTTGAAATTACTTACATTTTCAATAGTGTTTTGTATACTAGAGATTTTTAACGACTTTATATATAGAAATATGTAGGATTTAAATCGGGTGTTTGAGGAGGCCAAAACTAATATCACGGTCTATTTAACAATTTCAATATGCTTTAAATATTGTGCTGTGTCATTAAAATGGACAGGACTCCTATCATGCATAAAACAAAACTGAACTGTCGATCGAATCGTCGCGAAAAATATTAGTAATAAAAAATATATGAAAATGTACATACATATTTGCATTTTTTCCTAAAATAGAGATGTTCACACATTTGCAATCGAGTTTTACTTCTAACTTTAAAATATATGATAATATGAAGATATTAAAAAATTATGAATATTTTTTTATTTGCAACTCGATGTTATAATTTCATTGTTTATGTTCAACTTAAAAGAGCACTTTTTCTATTCGCTGTTACATTGTGTGAGCCTCCTATCATGACGACCAAAACAGATAAAAGTGATACTACTGAAACAAAAAAAGTTAAAGCACTTAACATATAACAGGTAAAAGAGCTTCATCACTAGTTGGTGGTCCGTTCCGCAAAGTGACGTCACAGACACTAGTATCGTTTGCTAGTCTTGTTAACTTCGATGTTTTTATTTTCAGTTTGTTAAAAACAAGACAAATTTCAATCATTTTGACGTGTTTCTATTTCTTTAAAACTACAATTTTTTTTTTATTTTAATTGAAAAATATTGTCAACAAACGTATTGTTGGACTCATCGTTCTTAAAAAATCGTCTCGTGTAAACCAGGCTATAGGATATTACGAACATTTATCATTTATAAGACCTATCTCATTTGTTTTACTTGTTTGGAATCTTTTGGATACCTCCCAGAACATCCAAAATGATAAATTGGATTTTATATCGTTCATTAAAATTATCTTCCCATACAAGTTTTATTTTCATTTTTTTAATTTCAGAAGTAGTTATTGAAAAACGATTCGGACAAAGCTTCTTTCAAACTATTCCACGCTTTGATAAGAGAGGAGACAGACAGTCTTTTAGATAATGGCCCAATTTTGAATCGTTAATGGGGTTATATCTAGCTAAACACTTAAAAGTCTGTGGTATACTGGTACCTTTTTGATGTTGAAATGAAATATTTTATCGTTTCTAGACAGCTATAAATTTTAAAGTGAAATTTAAAAGGCAGAATAACGTATTTAAAACTACATTTTTTAAATTCTCTCACAAAAACTAAAAATAAATATTTTCGATTGTATTTGAATATAATTTCTTTCGATGTTTCTCAGCATTTTTTAACGCCGCAGCCATTGCGATCTAATTTTGAAATCAAATAATTTTTTTTTCATTTTCCGAACCAACACAGAACAATAGCCATTAGACATAGAAAGATCTTACTATTTCCCCATTTTAATTAGGATTACTTCTTCAGGTGGCTTACCTAGGAATGGATTTAAGATAGACAAATATTAAAAGAACAAAATATTTAAAAAGCACGGTAACATTAGAAAAAATTACATTTTGGTGTAGAAATTCTGTTTAATAATGGGACACTTATAGTCCAAGCGGTAAAGCATTCGGGCGTTTGTATTTGTCATCTGTTCTGTTGTACAGAGAAATCCCAAATATTATGTAGAATAAGAATCCGAGTTTGCCAATTCCAAAATAAAAATCAGGGCGGGAATGGGGAGACGCAGAGTAGCTGCGCATGGGTTTCAAAATGCGTATGCGCGATAAAAGATGTCTTTTCTCCGGAAGTAGTATTACCACTTATCAAGACGATTTTTTTAAATTTTGATGACAGAAAAAGGAATATGTCATCAAAAATCAATAAAATCAATAATTTTTGCACGAATTTTGAGTTTAAAGAATTATGCCACTTTCGTTTGCTTATAAAAAATAGTTATATTATTCCCGCTCTGCCGAGAAATCTCAGTGACCACGGTACCTTGCTTGATTTTTCTTTCATTAAGCTTTTATCTGCCGAAAATGCACTAAACGGATATTGAAAGTACTTGCAATTAGCTAGAAAAACATATATTTTTTTCTCGACTTTACGATTACATAAGCTATAAATTATTATTAACTATACGCTTCTATATTTCTGAATCTACTCAGTAGAAGGCTGTATATTGGGCTAAAAAGCAAGGAGTTACGACGTAGTTTTTATGTGTGCAAGATTTTGTCGATTGTATAGAAAATTTCCTGGGAAATAAATAATTGTTTAAGTATAGAGTAAAATGTTGAAAAATTAAAAAAAATCTAAATGGTTATAAAAATGCAAAAATAGGTATTTTTAATATTGATCATTGTTTATTTTTAAAAAATTGTGTGCCCTTTCTAAACCTTAATTTAAACCCACGGTACGCAATAAACTCTTTAAATTTTTCTTAATTAATAATCCTGTCAATCGAAAACCACTCTATCGATCGTTGCAAAATTTTAGGGTAGAATTAACAAATGTTTTAGTATTTGTTCACAAAGTTTCATCAATATTTATAAACATTTACTTATTTTAAAAATTGTTCCAAATATACATTCGATTTTACTATTTTTCACGCATTGTTAATGCAAAATTTAACTTTTTTTATGCGGAGTTGTAACTTTATAGAAAATCGTCAAATAAACAGAAAATAAAGAATGACTTTTTTTATTTAGGGCTTACATTCAATGTTACATGGAAAAATATGTCGAAAAACGGGCCATTTTTCGTTCTTTTTGTATGTTTCTTGTTCCCCTGAATTTAGCAATGGTTGTTTCGAATAGGCAAACTCGGATTCTTATTCTACGTAATATTTGATATTCTTCTTTACAACAAAATAGATGACTTCAAGTACAAACGCCAAAGCCTACTTTTACTGCTCTATCGCCTGGACTATTACTACCTGTTTACCACGTCACTGGTGATTATAGAGAAATTATGTCACCACAAGACATATATAATTTGGTTTCGTTAGTTCTTATGTATTTTGTATTTTAGATATCACGAAAACAGTAAAAAAATAAATTCGACACTGTTTTGGACTTTTCTACGAATGAATAAATATCGAACACAATAGTCAGTTACCAACGAAACAATCGTCTATAGTAGGATTGTATTCGATGCAAAGTAGAGCAAAAAGTTGTCGGTCTTTTATCAAAGGAAAATCGTGTCATCATTTTTAGGAGGCGTAAGATAAATCATTTCAAATTTAAAATGAAATTCAATGTAAAGTCTGAAATACCGCTGCATACGCACTGTGTTCTGGTAGTAGCTGTAGTCGCCCAGGTGCATCGAGTGTACGAACTGGTCGGTTATACGTCAAATACTAACCTGGCGAGCTTTGCCGTCAATTAGAGAGCGCTTCCAAAAAACAAGTAAACAATAGTGGCGCGTACAGAGGTAAAATGTGGTACATATGTGGAATTTAGGAAACAAATTGATTTATAATAAATTACATTTAAAATAAATAGTTTATGAGAATAAAGGAATTTTTGTAGGAACAAGAGTGCCAGACCTGAACTGATCCTCTCGTCCCTTCATAATGTATAAAGAAATTATTCAATTTGTAAAACCCTTAAAAGCGTACTTCATTGGTTCCCTTGACAGGCAATGATTTATTACTTTGCATCGAATATGATCCTACTATAGTCTCTAGTAACTGACGTCATGAATCTTAACCTTGTGTATAGGTACATTTCGTAGCCTCACATCGGTTGAACATTTTCAAATGATCAAAACTGCCTTATTTTTTGAAATATTTGACAAGACCATTTTTTATTGCACATTGATTTCAATTAAATACAAAAATAGCCGAACCTGGCTATTGCTTTACGCGAATTAATTTGTGAACTTATTTCTAATATGTTTTTTTTTTTAATGAAGAATTTTTTTCGCGCTCTCTTGCGGTACTTTGCGCTCACTTTTAAAGAAGCGCCTACTTTTCATGGCGCGCCCACAGATTAAAAAACACAGGATTTAATCAGAATTTAACAAATTCGTGAGACAGAATGAACCTAAATATCCTGGGGCAGATATCAGGGGCAGTTGTTTCACACAATTTGGCCGCGTGTGCAGGTACCCACGGAAATAGTCTAGCCTCTGTTCTGCATCTTTCACACACACACACACACTTAGCTCGAGCGGAAGTTGCAGCCGACTATCTTAAGTTCATTAACAAAATTAATACGGTTTAATTTTTCCAAGAACAAGCGCCTCTAATTACAGTAAATCACGTAAGCCACAAGACAGGACGTAATTAAAATCGTATCTCTGTGTATTATTGTAATTCTCCCAGCGGAGTGTAACAATTTTTCGAAGGCAACGTACTCCCGGCTCTCATATTTATTAATATCCAGCTCGGGCTATAATTGTAGGAATAATAGTAAGTAATTCTCTTTGTTAGAAATCTTGTTGGTTTATGGTGATTGCAGTTAATCGTGTTCCGAGCGGAGTCTCGCCGGATTTATGGGGGTTAGACTGGGAGGCGTAGATACGGGGGGTCCTCGATAAGTTCAGATGAAGTAATCTTTACAAAAATTGTGTACAATTTACACAATTTTTGAAGAGTTCAGTTTATTTCACTTGAAATCATTGAGGTGAAGTTGATATTAATAAAAAATGTGTTATACTAT